ATATATATTTGTGAAAACCCCCCCCCCCCCCCCCCAATATTTAATAATGTTGCATGCTATCGTGCCACTTCCACAACAGAAACTATGAAAAATTTGTTTTTCCAATTTAGTAGATTGAATCTTGGATGTATCACACAGCTCTGCTTAACAACACCAACAAAACCCAAGAATATCTATTTTAATACATTAATTTGAAGGTCTATTTTTGTACACATATAAAAATTCCTATTCGTTGAGCTCAAAAAATGTTTTTCTGATAATATATAAAATATTATTTGCTATTCAGTGCCTGTCCATTAAGAAGCAAGCAAACATACATGTGAAGAGATGTTTTTTAACATAATAACCACACTGCCGGAAGGGTACAGAATTATGGTGTCTCTACAGACTGCATAGTCACAGCAGAACCTCTCTGTATTTACCAAAGTAATTTTACCACATCTAGTATATCTCTGTTATGCTATATTCTTGGAATAATAAGGTATTATTAAAATACTGTGGTCAGAGAGAGACATTAAAGAGTAAATCTCCAAATATATCTTTAGAAATGGAATACATGCATATAGACTACACAAGAATACATTTGAGAGTCTAGTAAAAATGCATACTTTTTTTCAAGTAACCATGGACCTAGTAATATCTTGGTATTTACAAGCAGAGTTATTTAACCTTCTATATGGCATTTATAGTATTCCCCTGTGCCCCAGGTGGGGAAAACTGAAATTATTGCTGGAACTTTTACTACCAAAACCAATAAATGTCAAATTTTAATGGCACTGTCTATATTAGAATATGTTAAGAAGATGACAACAAAATACTGGTTTCATGCCTCCTGAGAATCACGGTGAAATACATTCTTCATCTGCCTAGCTTTCTTTATCTGACATGCACAGAATACAAAGCCTTTTTTTATTTATTTCTTATTATATATACATGAAAGAAAAGTAGTATTCTTAACAGCTAGCAGAGTATTTTCCACAAAACCAAACATATGAAAGGGACTCTGTTTTCTACTGTACTTAAGAACTTTAGGATTTCATTTTTAACACAGGCATATTGATCATTTATTTATACAGATTCCCAGCTATGATGCGAAAGGATTAGAGTAAAACGCAAAAGCGCTTAGTATTTCTTTTACAATCAGAATTAATTGATGTCATCAGGGTTGTTAAAGTAACTGATTTCTAGTCTGGTCATTGTATACTAGGAGCGAAAAAATTTTTTTTTGCACAAATAGTTGTCAGCATTACTTTGAATCCTTCTTACAGAAACATACAAGCTTGCTGTATAAATGCACAAAGACTGGAAATGTGAAAATGTCTAGTTGTCATTCTTCTACTTTAGTCAGCACTCATCAGGGCATTTAATCTTACATGGGCTCCAAACTCCTGAAAAATGGCAAACTTTGGACGTCTTAGAGCATGTGTATTAATGCTGGACTAATTGGTTGAATAGATATGACTGTTCTTTAAAACCATGCTATATCTGTGAAAGTTTAAAACAGACACATTAGAGGGAAAAAACTTCAAAAATATTTCAAATTTTAGTAGCATTGACTTCACAGTACTAAAAATAATAAACTCAAAAAACCCAAGTATTTCTCTCCCCAAATATCACTTTCTAAGCTTTCGCATTTAATATTTTTGCTACTTGCCTTCATTTCATTTTTGCTAAAAATTTGTATAATTCCCATACATAAAAAATTACATAATTCCCAAACTAGTGGGGTTTTTCTTCCCTTTTATTCCTTACAACTTTTTAAAATCCCTTGGAAATGTTCTCAAAAGTCTAATTTAACTGTGTTTTAATTTTTTCATTACGTTTTGTACAAGTGCAGAAATCTGTTCAATGTATCATAAAAATCACTAAGTCAAGCATTCAAAATTAGGAAATGAGGACAAAGCTATCTTTTTACTAGACTGCTCTGATCCTATTAAAAAACCCTACTGTGCTGTTGAAAACATTAAGTAATGATGTACTTGAGCTTACTTTTTGCTTATAACTGAATGTTACATAGGCCATGTTTAATCTGGAAGTTTTGTGTCCTTGAATATTTAGGTAAGATGATCTTTAACAATTAGAAATGTAACCATTGATTTTTAACAAGTATGTGCTTCTTGAGTGTAATATTCTAAATTCAAAGGACAGTAATCACACAATTGAAAAAATCATATAAAATATTTAAATATGTGAAAATAATTTCTCATTTCTGAATTACCACTTCAGTGTTTATCAATCTTATCAATGATTATCAATCTTATCAATTTTATCAATCTTATTTTACTTTTTTATTTGTAAGTTTTATGTGCAATACCATAATCGATTTAAACACTTGCTAACTAAAATACACTCATAGCTAGATACAGGTATAAATGTGATCTCTGTAAGTATTATACTTAAGAAATCTATTTTCAAACTTTCTTATTCAATATGCACTAATGTTTTAGAAGAAAAATGCCTTTTAAACGTACATTCTTCATCAGCATCTCCTGAGATTTGCAGTGACTCTAGAGTGAACAGTGTTGGTAAAACAAATGATTCTGCACTTCATTGTCTTCAGAGCAAAATCTGTTTTCAAAATAGGTGTGAGTTTTGAGCTTCATCTACAGGTTGTCAAAGTATTGCAGACATAAAACTGCTTTGATTTAACTGATTTATGAATCGATGTAACTGTTTTGGATTTTCTAGGTATTTTCTAATGTTGAACAATAGATAAATTAACTGCTAATTGTTAAAATAGGTTAAATTACCTTTCTTTGTGCATATGAAAGGTGAAGTCAGATGAACATTTGAGCTTGGCTAAGTATAAGTAAAAAGATGAAGTGAAAAGAGATTATTTAAACCACAAATAAAATTTTCAACTATACATGCATTTATAATCCAAACTAAATACTAAATTAGATTTAAATAATGAAGATTATTTGTTAAATAGACTTCCAATGTTAACAGTGAACTGCTTTCCTTTACATTGGTTCCTGTTTCATTATCCTTTCATTACCCTGGCTACTATCAGCACCTGCATTAAACTTTATGTAGGACTTGAATTTTGAATCCCTGTCAGTATTGACTTCCTTATATAAAAAGAACAGAACTGAATTATAGGGAGACTGCTTGAATGAATCAACTGCTTCCAGCCTTGGATAGTCTTTTTATAGTCTATTCAAAGTTATTGGGAGGATTTTCTTAATAGTTAGTTCAAGTTTCCATTCACAGAAGCTCTGTATCTGTTGACTCACATGTTTAGTAGCTTCAATATAGTGACTGGGGATGTTTGACCTAGTTTATGACAGATAACCAAGTTCAAATGGCTACCTATGCCTTTCCATTCCACAAGGAGTGGCTCTTCTTTTTACACAGCATTTTAGATATATGTACCCAGAGGAGATTATTAAGGAACTGATCAGAACATTTCTTTCTTTTTGTCACTTTCCTGGTGAAAAGTCATTCATTTAGGGAAAATATGACCACTTAAAAATTCTAGCTTCTTAATGTTTGTTAACGTAGTGAAGTTATGACCTTAAGTGGCTTACATTTTAATGGAATTAAACAGTTCATTGACAGTTCATAGATAAAACATTGTCCCAGCTGTTTCTTGTGCTCTTACAAATGAAGTGCTACCCATTCCACAGGGAATCTATTTCCTATATTTATTAAGAAATAGTGTGACACTTAATAATACAGGCTTATTTCTGATAATCATGAAGATGAGTACACTGGGAAATTACTGGAAGTTGAAGGCAATGCATAGCAGCAGAACACAGGGAAAATTATTATTCTCTATTATCCTAATTAGAAGATAATACAATAAACAGTAAACAAAAAGAAACACATGTACCTAAATTAAAAACATCTTATCTTCTGGCGAGGAAGTTTGTGAGAAGACTGGGGAAAACGTTCATTTTCTAAGCAATGTTGGCCAGATCAACTTGCTATTAAAATTAAGGGGAAGTTTGCTGCTGTTTATGTGAACTGGCTTTGGCCTTTAATGCTGCTTTTCAGATTAAACAAACTGGATGTAAATAATCCCATTGTTTTCTCAGCTGTTTATGGAATTCAAAACCTTAGTCTGTACGACACCAAAATTCTACCTTAAATCTTACTTATAAACTTATTATTGATCTTAATAATTAATCTTAACATATATCATTAAATGTTGTCTGATTATCTAATCTAGTAATAGAACTTTATTAGGCTTTGTATTATGATACAAAATATTGGAAGAAAATAGCCTTTCTGACTTTAATTTAATGTGATCTTTACAGAACAGCCCCATGGGAAGCTTTTAGACAACTAACTGGAACCAAGCAGACTTTAAACAGGTGAATATTTTATTTGGGGGGAAAAGTGAAATATGGAAAAAATTTCTTCTGTAATTACATTACTATTTCTGCTATTCTACACCTAGTGCACTGTTTGTTAATACTGTTGCAATAAAAATGGTTTACTTATTTCCATCTTGAAACAAAATATTTCTACACTGAGGGTGGAGAAGAATGGTAATTTCAAGAAAAACAGAAATTGTGTTAAGTTATTGAAAATGTATAAATGAGCACAAAGGAGCATGTCCCAATATCCTGAGATCTTAGCTCCAAGTGGCAAGACACAGAGCACACTTGTCAGTTTTATGTCCTATGTGCATACATATATATATCTATGCATCCATTATATCCAGTAAAACTCATGCAGACAGAACCTTGTTTCAACATGCAACTTATTGAAGTAAGAAGGTCACAGAAGCCCCAGGTCTGCAAGTTTTGGCGTTAGCTGAGGTTTGGAACATTTCCACTAACAATCCATTTGGATAATGAACTGCATATAGTAAAGGATGATATGCTTAATATGGTTATAGTAGTAATTTATTTTCATGCTCTAGAGAAAAAAAAGGTATAGACTTGTCATAGTATAAAAGGCACAGTACCTAAAAATGTCCATAGGACAAATGCTGAAGATAACTGATAAGCAAATACAGAAAGAAAAAATCTTTGTTACAAATAAAGTGACCGAAGCCAAATGGATCTTTTCCTACATAAGTTATTTTTAATGATTCTTTACCTACATCAAACAGGAACCAGACAATCTGCCATGGAGCATCTGAAGAGACTATCTTTATGAATAGAATGAACATGCTGTTGGTTTTGCCTGTCATCTTTAAATGGCAATGAATCTACTTATTATAGTGCAAATTTAAAGTAATTCAGCCATATCTCTCCTGATATTAAATTACATAATCTTATATGCCTATTACTTAGCAGAAAATGGTCTTTAATTCGTTAACATAATCTCTGTACTTACAGTATTACCAAGCTTTGATCTCAAATGTTTCTTTCAGATTAGCCTATGGGACCTTTTTAATACACATTTGCAGTTTCTATTGCCATGAAATACTGTTCTGATTAGTAAGAATTTTACACTAAGTTTTAAATTGTTTTCTTTATCTGTACATATTTCAGGGAGAGCCAGCAATCACCGGAACAGTGGCAGAAAATGTATGGCAGATGCTCTGGTAATGAAGTGTATCATATTAACCTGGAAGAAAGTACTTTTTTTGCAGAGTATGAGGGGAAAAGCTTCACATACGCTTCTTTCCATGCACATAAAAAGTATGTTTATTTTCCTATCAATAATTAAAAGTTCAAACAAATAATTGTTTTCCCTGCAATGTAGCTCTGCATTCAAAGGTACAGTATTACACGTTACTGTGTTTCTGGCTTTAAATATCTGGCCACTAACATATTTCATGGATATTTTTCTGTAAGTTACAGCTGGTCAGGTAAAAGCTTATGTTGGCTCTGTATAGGCCAGCTCAGTCTGAGAGAATAGAATATAAAGGATATATAGGATAAGCCTGAGAACCAGAAAAAAATTGTACCTTAGGTTATACGAGACCACTAGTCCCTTTCCATGTCCAAAACATGGATGACAGCGGTTGGGTTTTTTTAATTTATTTTGGAGTCAGCTGGAAATTTGGCTTCCATTGTGGCATGTTCAATTTATGCAAAATGTTCTATTTAAAAGTGGTACATGCTACATTCTGGTGATTGTTCAAAATAAAACAAATTTTTTCTGTTGAATGCTAACATATCTTCTTTAGGTTCCAGATCATGCATCACTTATTGAGTGCTGCTCTGTGACGTAAACTTACAAACCAAACACAAATCTTGTATATTTGTATATATTTAACAAAATGAACATATATCAAACCCTGAACATTAAATTTACTCTCATACTTAATACGTGAGAGAAATACTATTTTTTTTGCTTTAATTCCTTATTTTCTATCACTAATGAAATACATTTCTAGGAGTGAATCACAAAAATGAATTCTGAAAATGGTTTCCATTGGCTATGAATAATAGAACAATTTAACATGATGAATACTTTTTCATATTCATTCTTCTACTAATGTTTTCCCAGAAGGGACTATTGATCTGATAGAAAAAAAATCAACTGGAACATCATTATAAGAAAATTATGGAGATTAAGAAAAACATTGGATTCAAATGCCTAGGGATTCATGAGCACATAAAAATGGCTTGATCAGAAGTGGCCTATTTAGGAGACAGCATTTTTCAAACAAATTTGTCATCCAGAAATCTGCAAAATATAAAAATATACTGGAGATTCATTTTTGACAGTGGAAATTCTGGTATATACGGGACTATGCAAAATGAACCATGCCTTTCCTTTTCTAATTAAGGTTTGGAGTCTGTCTGATTGGTGTTAGAAAGGAAGACAACAAAAACATTTTGCTGAATCCAGGTCCTCGATATATCATGAGTTCTACAGATATATGCTTTTACATAAATATCACCAAAGAAGAGAATTCTGCTTTTAAGAAGCAAGAGAAGCATAGAAAAAAACAAGAATCAAAATTATCTTATCATGGAGCTTCTAGGTTACCTGTACACAGTATAATAGCCAGCATGGGTAAGTAAAAAATTGTAATAACGTGCAGAAAGAAAGAAAAAAATCTTAAACACTTGCCATCATATTTAAAACAAACAAACAAACAACAAAAACCCCCACCAAACAGAACTTGAATATGTTTTTCTTTTACTTGACAAATGAAACCACTTAAGACCGTTGTATAAAAAAGTAGTAATAAAAAGTACGCAAAGCAAAACAACTGGGAGAATGACACGGGTAATTTCTTTGTCATTCATAACTGGTTATTTGTGATAAGTTTTCATAAGCTTCTTTAATTAAAAAAATGCCCCTACTCAATAAAAACCTACAGGTTATTGATGCATGTAAATATGGATTAATTATATAAGGTATAATTTTTAAAAGGTAGTTAACAAGAATATATGTATTAACAGTTAGAAAAACTGCTACTTTGCAGGAAAAGGCTTCCTCAGGTATAGTTTAAATATTTGTTGTATTTTAATGTAATAAACAATCAATATAGTATTCTTTTCAGTCTTTGGCTGTGTAGTCAGTTAATCCCCACTAAATATGGGAATCTTATTCAAATGTTTTGACAACCTCATTGAGAAAATGCTTTCAATGCTACTTCAGGAACAGTGGCTATCGATTTACAAGATACAGGATGCCAAACATCCAGCGGACCTACGCTAGCTCTTCCTTCTGAGGGAGGTAAAGAGGGCAGACGGCCCAGTATAGCACCTGTTTTGGAGGTTGCAGACTCATCTTCACTTCAGACATGTGACCTGCTAAGTGACCAGTCAGAAGATGAAACTACCCCATCAGATGATGAAGTCTCTGCAGGCTTAGAGTATGTATATTAAATATAAAACAGACAACACAATTTCAAAAGCTAATATTACTTTTTGACATGCAGGTCAATGCAAGCAGTTGTAGCAAGCAAGACCCATAAAGACCAATTATGGATTTATTCCCTTTTATGAAATGCTATTCTCTGTTAGGATGCCATTATGCCTATTTTGAAACTAAAAAACCAGATTAAATCCTCCATTGGCTGGAGATTTTCTGTACTCAGTTATAAAGATCTAGCTGTGTATTGCAATTTTTTTAATAGCATTTTTTATGACCATTTTTCCTATATTCTATAGTTATAAAGACAGGACTCAACTGATTTGTAAACAGGTAAGTACTTCTGTCCTGAGAATGCAGTGATAATCAGATCATTCAACAGGCTTGTTGAATGCTGAGGCTAGATGTCTGACTTCAAAATGTAGAAATGACAGAACAAGCAGTATGAGACAAAATGATTATATCTAATTTAAAATGCTTGTTAGCATATTACTGAAAGTAATGATGCATTACTCTGATAAAAACAGAAGATTCAATCTTGTAACTGCCATGCAGATAAGCAATTATGCTTATTGGAATTAATGACAGGGATGTTAAAACTGAAATACACAATTAAGCCAGTGGTTCACCTAGCACAGTTTCCCATCTCCAAGAGTGGCAAGCATGAGAAGCCCCGGGGAAGATCATAAAGCTCCAATGAAAAAAAAATAATGGAACAAGTCATGTTAAATCTGCAGACTGAAATACCAGGATTTAAAAGGCCACTTATTAAAAACTAAGGCCAATTAGAAATTTCATCCCATCAGCAAGAGCACTTGCCATTTAAAATTTATTCCAACCATCTTGAAAGTATGTTATTAAAGCATGAAGGTAATGGCCTCACTCATTCTTGATAAATGTGAGAAAGAAAAATGGAGAACGAAGAGCAGAAGTACCACAGTTATGTCTATTTTCTTTCCTGTTTTTTCCTTCCTTAGAAGTTTCCAGTACGTATGTTCAAAACACTAGGACAGCACACTATGATACATCAGCCCATTTAAAAAAAAAAAGCAGCAAAATTCCTTTACTCCACAAAAGCCTGATAGCTTTCACTAAATTGTATCGAATTGGTCAAAGCTACAAAATATATTCCTTTGATCCTTATTAAACAGTTCATTTCACGTAATTGACTCTGCTTGTCCAGATAAAACTGCAAGACTTAGACATAGGTATAAACATCCCATAAGATAGTTGTATAGTGAACCGTATTTCAGTAATTTGCTATACTGAAAAATGTTTGTCCTATTCTCCCAGGTATGCCAAAGGCTATCCTCCTTACTCTCCATACATCGGAAGCTCTCCCACGTTTTGTCATCTTCTGCATGAAAAAGTGCCCTTCTGTTGTCTAAGACTAGATAAGGTAAAAAGAGTCTCTGTTACTGGATAAAACTGCATTCTGATTTGTCTCTTGTATCCAAAACAGAGCTAAATTCTGCTTTCTGCTTAGAGATGAGGTTTGTTCAGCCCTAACTAAGCTATAATATGTTTTCTTATCCTTTTCATCACCAAGTGTTTGTTTGTCTAATCAGGTCTATATCAGGTCATCTGATACAATTTTCTGTTTCTAATGGCAAAACCCTTTAATGTCACAGCTAAATCTCTTTATTCATATCCACTAAACCTGTTTCTTATTTTTATTTTAGGGATGCCAGCATAACTACTATGAAGATGCCAAAGCCTATGGATTCAAAAATAAATTGATTATAGTTGCAGCAGAAACTGCTGGAAATGGCTTATATAACTTTATTGTTCCACTCAGAGCTTATTACCGACCAAAGAAAGAACTAAATCCCATTGTATTACTCCTAGATAACCCGTAAGTAGATATTTTTTTTCATGTGTGTGAGAGATATGTTTTAAACTCATTTTACCATTACTTCAATAGATGATCACTCTTCACATCGCCAACTTAAAATCAAAAACATTATGGCACATTTATCTTTGAGAAAAGTTGGTGACCAAAAAAATACCCTATGTTCACTGTCATATACAAATTGACTGTAAATGGCCATAGTGAATTTAAATGCCCTTATTCTTCACGGCCAATGTTTCAGCTAAGTATTTCTTAAAAATACCTAAAATAATGTGAATATTACTACTGAATTTAAATAACTTCATAAACACTGTAAAAAGCAAGCTGTGTAACAGTTTCACAGCAATATGACAGCACTTCAGACAACACTAACGTACTTAACACAAGGCACTTAGTGGTCTAGACCAGTTAGGTGTATTTTTAATAATTTTAGACTCCAACATAAACAGTTCTTTAAGCCAGTAGGACACCCACCCACACACTGAGTCTACAATTATATAAAGTCATGGAAGAAAATTAAAACCTGTGATATTGTTGTTACTACTGTATCTGTCTGGAGATTGCTGGAATTCTTAGACTGTCTTGCATTAGCTGTTTAAAATTTCAGACAAATTTGACTCTGGCATTTGTAATCTGACAATAAATGAAAGTTTGGGGGTTTTTTGTTGTTGTTTTAGGTATTTTTTGCAACACTTTGTACTGCTTAAGTACTTGAAAATCACAATTTGGAAGACACAAAAATGGAGGTTAGCCATATACAGAAAATTAGATCAAGCTATGACTCAAAGAAATGACAGCAGCAGCAATGTCTTACAGGTTCTGATTCCAGGCTAACATTTCCCTCTGCATATATATATATATATATATATATGTTCTAGTTTAAATGATTTATCATTTAAAGGCCTGCTGTGAAGTGTCCCACTTTTGCCTCAGAGTGTTCTTTAGTGAAGCTGTATACACCTGTGTTTGCAAAACAGCTTTTTTTTTTAATGTGCATATTATGGCATAAAGTGAATTACACAAATTGGTCAAAGCCTAAATTAGGCTAAAGGACTGATTGGCAATTTAAGATTAAAGATGTGAGCATACAGGGCCCTCTAGTGGTTGTTCTCTTTTCCAGCATAGTGCCTGAGTTTACATACTTTAATACTGTTGAGACATTTTATGGCTAAACCCACTTTTTATTAGCATGAAGTGGAATTTTGTAATTTACTTCACTGGACTTCAGAATTCAGCCACCTTCGATGAATATATCTATGCCTTGTTTTTATATTCCTATTTTCCCTATTTATCAAGGCAATTTATTACAGTATGCTTATTTTGATATCTATACATCACATGTGTTTTAAGATTTCCAATGTTTCTTGGTATGTAAGAAGAAACACAGTAAAATTTATGATTAAAGAAACAATGCAATAATGTACAGTACCTTAGTCTTCATATTCCATTTTAAAAATAAGGTTTCATCTGAACAGAGTGGTTGGCACAAAAAACAAGTGATGATTTGGTTTCCACTTCACATTTTAATTAAAAATTCTCACTGCTTATTTTAAGTACTCATAAGTCATGCGTTGGAGTATAACTTGGTAGCATGTCTTTGACATCAGTCATTCATTCTTATATTTGCAATTGTACTGTGCCATAAAATTTCTGATTTAAGAGGTACATTTATTAATATAAGCACATTAATTCTGATCATTCTTTATGATCACAGTAAACTGTTCATTCACAGCTTTCTGCAAATGTATTTCCTGTTTAAAGTGATATCATACTGCCAAAGTTTTAAAGAGTTATTCTTTTTAAAAAAAGCTACCAGTTTATTGAAGTATTTTAGAAAAGATGCTGTTGTTGTGATATTGTGTTTCATTTTGTAATCCCATCTGCTGCTTAGGCCAGATATGCATTTTCTGGATGCAATCTGTTGGTTTCCAATGGTTTACTACATGGTGGGCTCTATCGACAAGTAGGTGAAATAACTGTTAGAAAACTTAACATTGTAGTGCTCAGTGGTTTGTTGTCTGTATTGTCATTGCATGTTTAAGTGTCTGTTGTATTTGAAGATGATCTTTTTGCATGCATGGTTTGTGTCTGTGTGCTATAATTTGGATTTCAAATTTCTGACTTATAAAGGATATAATTAGTGAAAATTGTGATGAGGAAAACATGTTTATATCTTCAAAAGCATAAGACTAACACATTTAGGTGCATTAATATGTTTCTGCAAATTGCCAGATTGTAGCCCTGACTCTAGTGTCATTCTATACTTAGTTATAATTTGTTTGGATTTACTGACTAGGGTTTTGTAAAGATAGCTACAGAATGTAGAGAGTCTTGAATGTGTCCAACAGTCCTCTTCTGTCACTGCTTAAAATATCACCTACTCCTACATTTGTGTCTTCACCTCTGCTAATACATATTTGCATATCTAGGTTTAGCAACATAGATTTAATGTTAAAAATCAGGCAGAAACAAGAGAAGAGGCAAGGGCTTATTAGCATTTTAGTAAACTCCTGTGTGTAAAGCATCAATTTCCCCAGGCAGAAATCAAAAAATTTATTTACTGCCATGAATTAATAGAATCCAATTTTTCAATGAGAATTCTGGAGATTCAACATTTCTCCATCTCGACCTGTTATAACAAATGCTTTAAAACTACTTACAATAGTGATACAGTTACAGATTTACTTTGGTGATACCACAGTCATTGTGAGATGTGCAGAGAGTCTACAGAAATGTTTTTCACTTTCTACATTTCTTCCTCTAAACCAAAAAAGTGTCTCAGGTTGTTATCATCTACTACTTTCATAACTCTTAATTCCACAAAAATTATAAAAAGAATACATACCAACAGAATAATTGGATTGACTCAAAGTATCCAAAGTAATTAATAACCAAAAGATGTTAACCTGTTTTTATTAACATGGAAAATTAAACTTCAATTAAATTTACTGAGTTTATTTCAAAAAGGAAATCACCAAATCCCTCCCTAAAGGTGTTTTGTTGTTTTTAGAACGGAGTGCCTAAAATGAAATAAAATTAAGTGTGTAGCCTTTGAAATAAATGATTATACAGAATTCTACAGTTTACAATAATACTAGCATGAACTTCTGCATCTTTTCTGACAATACAATCGCTTTAATTC